AAAAGAGGACATGACTAACAGTGGATGTAGCTCCTCTCCCCTTCTATTCTCTGTGCTTACACATCCAAAAAGCTGAAGGATATGAACAAAGTAGGTGTAGGTCAAAGAAACCCAAATTACTTAAGCAGACTGATAAATTGTGAAAATCATCCTCTTTATGAACACTAGACTGTTCGGAAAGAAAGATTTAGCAAGAAAATATATCTTTCTACTATATCTCTGACAGGAAGGACAGTCAGAATAATCCAGGGTGAATGAAAGCAAAGACATTAAACTTTCTAGAAACTCCAAAGGGGGCTGGAAGCAGAAATCACAGCTCTGCATTTCATAGTAGAAACACCTTGAGTATTCTTGACCATCTAGCTAGGTCTTACTTTTACCTTGGAAGTAGCTAGTATATTTTTCTGAAGTCTGCTAGGATCCTTCAGAAATATATTTCCTTTTTTTTTTTTTTAATGAAAAAGTTCATATTCAGCTGTATCTTTGACTTGATATGAGATCCCATTGACCGTTCTTTTAAAAGGACAGAAAAATTATTTAGTATGTTAGGGAATAAAAAGGGAAGGAGGGAGATGTTCTCCTGTTGAACTTCTACTGGCTTCTGAAAATGCCAAGACTCAGAGTCCCTCAATTCTCTGTTCTGGTTCAATTTGCTAAGACTAATTACATTCTCTTCCCTAGAGTAATTTTGGAGGCAAATGGAAGAAAGGTAACTCTTTTTCAAAAAAGGAAACATTTAGAGTCTTGATGATATAAATGCCATTGAAAAGTTTTCTACCATTTCTCCCTGTCTCCACAAAGCAAAAAATTTTCATGTTGAAAATGCAGGAATGTCAACACAGATTACTCAAGCTGCAGGTCACCCACAGCTTTTGTGATTCACTGCCTGAGCTAAACTCTACACCCAATTCACAATATGTGCAACTTGGGCTTTTTGGAAGCATAGTAACATTTTTTTAATGACAACTTATTCACATTCCCCCTCTAAATTATTTGCCCTCTATTAATAAACTTGTGGTATATCAGCTCCTAAGTGGAGTAACATAAAAACCAAAACACACAAGAAAAAACAAACAAACAACCACACATACTTTACCACAAATATATGCTGCACATAAGGCAAATTCAGTTTCTGGATCTGTTATCAAGTAATATCTCACAAAGTAAAGAGATAAAAAGTTTGTCCCAAGAAGAAAAAAGAAAAGGAACAGATGCAGCTTGGTGTCTGGCACAGTGTACAGCACTTGACAAAGTCTGGAAAGAAAAGCCTGCAGCTCCCTTTTTACCTCACCAAGACAAAATGTGCAAATAGCTATAATCTCCTCCTCATGTGGAGGCCAATAAAACAACTGTTAACGCATACGCTATTATAATATGTTTAACAGTAAAATGCACCCATTTGGCTTCCCCTAGGAATTTGAATTTTTGGACTTGGTGCCCAATCATCTATGTAATTTCTCAGTTCAATAATATTAAGAGAAGTTTCCCACCTTCTGAAATATCACTCTACTGCTCTGATTGAATAAAATTAATTCTCTCCCTCTCCACTCCCAACTAACATGAAACAGATGGAAAATACATTATACTAGAAGCTCTCACAGAATTATTTTGTCCTTCAAATAGCAATCACTGATTGCAGTGTTACACATATAACATATCAGCTGAATTCCACTGTGAGAAAAAGTCAGAGTTAGATGTACTGGGAATCCACTACAGTTATTGAGAAGTCAATTGGGCTTTTGTGGTTGGGTTTTTTTTCCAGAAAAGATGCAATACATAGTGTTGAAAGAACTGAATATGTCTAAGTATCTTCTGGGTACCTTTGCTCTTCAAGACAATCCTTTAAAATGTACGACTTCCATACCTAAGCCTAGCGCCACATACCAGCAGACATAAGACCAACACTGAGGAAGTAGCATCCTTGCACAGAAGCAAAAGAATCTGCAACTGAAAGTTCAGAGGCTCACCTAGTTTCCTCATGTTTGCTTCACACAACTTTAAGACTTTGCTTTACATTACATTTGTGAGTATTGTATAGATCTGAAATTTGTCTCTCATGTATGAGTGTTATCACAATAGACCACTGAGGTGGCCAGGATTCTTTGGCACTCCTATAGTGAGAAGTAATCAGTGGACATCCAAAAAAAAAAAAAAAAAGATTATTCAGTTTCAAAGATCAAGCAACGAAAAAGAAACACATAGGATATCATTTTCCAGGTTATATGTTTCATCACTTATGATGGTTTTCTTCCTTATCCTTCCCAGCAATACTAGTTACTTACATTCTTAAAAAAAAAAAAAAACCAAACAAAAAGCATTTCTGGCAACACATCCAGTGCAGAGTTGTGTATAAATCAAAATTCAATTGTTTCAGTAACTGAACTCTATAAATTTCTCACACAGGAGAGGAGCTGTATGCAAAAGGAACACATTACTCAATCACAGCCAGCCAATCAAGCTACCGTAACACAGACAAAAATCCCCACGGAGTTACAGGCTGAAGAGCTATTTCGAACTACAATGTGGCCATCTATTCCTACTTTTGCTACAGCGCAGCCAGATAACGTATTATTCTGTATCTTTAAAAGACCATCCTATTGTGTTAAGCTAATTCAGCAGAGCTTTAGCAAGTGTGAGACAAGAATCAGATTTCTGCCCATCTTGACAGAGCACAATACTTTCTGCCCTGAGTAGTCCCAAAGAAGTCATGCAGCATGCCAAGTACAAAGTATTTGCAGAAGTGAGCCTTCAGATAGGGCTGCAAAAGCTCTGGGTTAAGGAAGCACTCACCAACTTGCTTCTGCTTGATCTGTTACACAGCTTGACAGTAACAGATAGCCAGTTGCATGAGTGTCAATGTTCAGATAAGTTTCTCTCAATATCTGTCACAAAACCCAGACACTGTATCAGTGTGCCAGCTGTATTATCGGTCACTAAATAGTTAATCATACTTAATAACATCCTCGAGCACCGACATGGCACACAGACAGCAATTACTGTGAACCACAGTCATCCAGATCATTCTGACTCGGAGCTGCCAACTCGGCGCACTCTCAACAAGTGCCTGCCTACCACCTTTTCCCTCTCAAACACATTAGCTTGCCTCAATATGGGGCCAGAGTTTGTTTTGAAACTCTTAACAGGATCACTGAAAGAAAAGAGGAAAAACACCACAAATGATTCTCTGGACTGTTTCCAGAGTAGTGTGTTCTCCTAGCGATTGTTTTGGAAGCAAGCCAAAAATGGGAAGTGTTCTTGCAAATGAGCACACTACTATGCTCAAGTACAAGTTATCATTTAATTCTTTTGTCAACATCAGCATGGATAGAAATTAAGAAGCCTGTTTAATAAACAGGTTACTTGAATTCCAGTTACCAAACATCAATTTCTTCTCTATCCATCCCTGCCACACTCACTCAGCTCCTGCCCCCCACCTACTTCCCAACATACAGTGGTTTCTTTTTTGGATACTTCCTCTCTTTTACTGAAAGTGAAATAACATTAGGATATTAATTACATTAACCATAACTAGGTCTGTAATCAAGAGCAAGTTAACTAAGAAAAGGAAAGAAATCAGTCACTCAGAAGAAAATATTCAAAAACCTTAAAACAAACTTCTGTGGGACACAGCAGTTAATATTTTTAACAGAGCTTTAATACAGTCTACTGAAAGATTTTTGTCCAGGAAGTTTTTTACATTACAATTACTCCTAATGAGATCACCTTCTGCAGTGTATAAGACCTCATCCCTTCCCAACAGAACAATGAAAGATTTGTGTGGGGCTACGAAAGCCTCAGATCAACTTCGCTCACTTCACCTTGTACTGAATTTCCTCATAAAAACACATCAACAGCACAACTGGTTTTTTTCCTGAGGACAAACTATTAATAAGGAGACTCATTTCCTTTGTTTTAGGGTGTCCTTAATCCTCTACAGATTTTGAAGTCCTCATACAGGCACATCAGACCCACTGACTGATGTCAGCTTTGCTTTTGAAATTATGTACATTTCTCTTCTTCATAGATTTGTGAGCGTTTTTTTCCAGTTTTTGACTTACACCATTTCTCAACAACAGTCTGCCTATCTTGCAATATGGTGATATATAACTCCTTATGTTATCTTATAATAAAAATGATAGACCTTGTATTAAATATACATGAAAATACCTGTCTTCAAACAAACTGCCTATTCTCTTAATTTTACCCTAAGCAAAGACAATGAAACATCCTCTTTCATGCTAAGCAGGAGTGTCTTATGCCTGTAGCCCCAGAGACAGCAATGCTAAAGATAAGTATCGTTCTAAGAACACGGCTGACTGAATTAGTCTGAATTAGAAAGTACAACTCAGTAGTCTCTGATTTGCTAGTACTTTAAAATAATCACCATGATCCTACAGCAAGCCAAAAGTTTAGTTTTATGCAAAAATATATTGTAGAAAGGAAACTACACTTTATTCTGAAAATTTGAAATTCTGTTTGAAAGATCTTGTCTTTGAATTTTTACACACTTCATGCAAATCTCTAAGTCAATTTTTATTGTGTGTGTATTCTTCCAATTACTAACCACACCCCGTTCTAATTTTACTACCTCCATTTTAGTTTCCTTATAATTCTGTCATAGATCATGTGAAAGAACAAAGTGTTTACCTACTCATACCTGACATTATTGATACAATGTTCTGTGATAGGTATGACTTGCTCAGCTTTACCAAGCAGTACAAGAAACACCTTAACCAGTTTAAAATGTTAGTCCTGAACCTATAGTCATACTTCACACAACTTCAACTTTTTTTGCTTAAATTTAAAAATGCAGTATGCAACCACTGATTTCCATAATCAGATTGGTTGACTGCTTTAAATTAAACAGTGTGAACTTTACAGATTGACGATCCAAAAACTTTAAAAGCAGGCTGATCATGTATTTCTCTTGAAAAAAGAAAAATAAAAATAAGCCGGTAGAACGTGACCTATAATTTATAGCAAGCTGTGTGTTTACTTACGTTCACACGTGTCTCCTTTCTGCTGGTATCCTGCTTTGCAGATACATTTTCCAATAGGCACTAACCATTCTCCCTCCGCGCTACAGTGCATCTTCGGCGAGTTCTCCGCCTCCTCCTCCGCGCTGCTGACACAAGTTCCTCGCACTTCTACTAAAGAGGAAAACTCTGAGCCAGTCACTGTATCAGGAAAAATAGCTAAGTTCTCAATGATGGACCAGCACTTCTTGTAGTAGACTTTGACAGAGACCAAAGCAATGCAGGCCCCTACATCCTGAAATGCAAGATAGAATCCTTTTTTGGACAAAGGTCCAATTTCTCTCACCTCTGTGTTAAGTTTCATTTTTCTCTCCCCAAGATCACCCTGGGTAAAACTTTCATCTGCTGCAATAGTGTCTATTTTTACATATTGGTTTTCTCGGATATTCCTGCCAGTGTCGTAGTCTGTTTCATAATAATACAAGTTAAAAGTTTCTTTACATGTCCCCAGAACTCCAGGAAGACTGTTACAATCCCTCAGAGTGAATTTCAGTTCTACAAAAATCCTTTGTGCATTGCTTTTTGCAATCCAGTTAGTCCGAAGCCAGTTGTTTTGGTTTGATTCCATCACCTGGCATACCTGGTATGTTCGTATAGGAGTGTAGTTTTCATCCAGTCCACTAATTTCTTCCCACTAAAATGATAACAAACAGTTAGTAACACAAGAAGTATGTCACCAGATGTAACTACTGTGCATTTTAAAAAGCTTCATATAACTCACATCTTCCTTCTTTTTAATGAGTATTTTTAAAAATACTCGTAAGCACCTAAACGAAGAAAATACATATTAATGCAGCAGTAGGCTCTCTCTGCCTTCACGTCTCTTCCACATATAAATAACTTCTAAAAATCACTGTCATAACATGGACAGAGTTACAAAGGGGGACCCTTAGAAAAGGCTGTTCAGCATATCAGGTTCTGATTACACACTGGGCTCACACACATTTTGTTAAGGTCACAATGGTTTTGGGTAAGCAAAGACTGAAAGGAGAGAGGCAGCTTCTCTTTCAAAGAAACCTAAAATCAGTGAAGTCTTAGAAACTGAAATTGCCTAATGTTACAGTACATCAAACTTGTCAAATTTTCAGTGCAGTTGAATGCAGTAGAAAGCATGGGATTGGGTCCTGAAACTCATGAGTCAGATGATTCTCATTCCTATGTGAATAAAGTGGCATAGAGAGAAGGCAAGAGAAAATTACAGAATTAAAAATCTGAAAGCAAGAAAATATTTTGGTTGTCCCCTTTTCGTTCAGGCCACAGTCTGTTTTATTTACAAACCAAAGAGGTAAGCGGCAGCTCCTTCTCATCTCACATTTTGTCCAGTGGCTGCACCCATGTTAAGAGGAGCAAACTTCATTTAGTTGTAAGTTCAAATGAACCATGAGATTACATACAGAATAAAAAGCAACCCATATGACTGAAAATTCACTGGTTCAAAGCCTGGGTCTTGTTGATGTTCCCTCTCTGGGTTACCAACTATGTAACGTGCTGGTAAGCCTGTAGCAGCCCTGGAGTCTTTAACAGCCTTTGGTAGCGTGGGAATTTGCATCTCCAGCAATGACAAACCTTCCACTGAAATCAATCAGGCAGATCTGCCCAGGTGTAACCAAAACAATATCAGTCTCTCACCTTTTTTCACATTTCTTGTAGCATTTAATTGACTGCAGAAAACACAGCTGCAGTAAATTAGAGGACGGGGGGCAAGCTTTCCTCACCCCATGATACAGGCAACCATGATTTCTTTGTATGGCACTTGGCCCTCTGGCCTCGTGTCAATAATGCACTTAAGCTCATGCTTAAGATCAGTAAAAGTACTTATGAGCTTAATGGTAAGCATGTGCTTAAGTGCTCTGTGGGACTAGTATACTCAGCACCTCTGCAGGATGGAACATCCACTGACATTCCTTACACCGGCAACAAAACAAGTGTGGAAAGCACTGGTTTACCAGATCAGGAGCCATACAGTATACAGTACGTTGCAAGCCTATTTGACAGCAAATGAGATCCTTTTAATGTTGTTGTCTGTTCCAAAAAAAACCAAATGTGGCTGATTTGATGCTGGAAGTTATCACCACAAAATATATCACAGCTGCAGATGCTGAAATGCACAGAAGTCGTAAATATCAAAGCACATTTCAAGGACCTACAGTTAATATAGATTTGGTATATATGGTATTATATATGCATATGGTATTAAATGACTGAAATACATTATTAAATGCTCATGAAGTTAACTGAAGGGACTGCACATGGAACTGTATTAACCTCAGAATAAAAGAAAGTCTATCTTCATAAGAGATTTATTAGATCTGAATGAGTAATATTTTTTCCACCTCTGTAAGGACTAGTACAAACAAGAAAAAATAAAAAAGGGGTCCTGGACTGAGAGGGTTTTGGCTATGTCATAATAATAAAAAGCATCCCCCCCTCAAAAAAAACCCCAAAAACAAACCACCAAACAAAAAAACACAACAAAAAAAATCCCACTAAGATGACATAAAAGGCATAAAAGCCTAAAACTTTACTGATTTTCATATTTTCCATTTCATATCAAGTAGTACTATTTGCTTTGGGTTTCTTTGAGTTGGTTGGTTTAGGGGGGTTATTTTTTATTTCGTGTAAGCATTCTTCCCTCCCAAGAGAGATTCTGCAATGAGATATTCAGTTAGACAATGTATTCTATCTTTGAAGTGAAAGTAACTTTAATGCACCACACAACAGAATCTGTCTCCTCGGGTTTTGATGTGGAGTCCTTGACCAAAACAAACCCCCAGACCCCTCCAAGAACAACAAATAAACTGAACAAACAAACAAAACCAAATAACAAATAAAATACATTTTACAAAGTCAACCTATTTTTGGTAACACAACACAAGTGAGTTTTCTCAGAGTCAAGATCCCACTACATGAGACTAACTAGTATCAGGGAGATTCTTATGCTACAGTCAAGGAAAACAGCACAAAAAACTAAATTCACACAAAAAGTCCTACTTTTTGTTATCCCTAGCATTAATACATTAAATTAATTTTTTTCTCTGCAGGAAAAAAAAAACCCAAAACATTAGTACTTCAGGATGTTGTCACCTATGGCATCTGAGCTCACACTTCATTAAAGTCTTCTTATAGCAATCAATTCTATCACAGCTTTTACAGCAAGAAAACTCAACTTTTCTTTGTCCACCTGCAAAATATGGTGATACACATGCAATTCCATCTGAATGTGTCCTGTTCTATTGGTTTCAATTTATGGTATTTTAACCTCTTAGTTATCTTAACAATGTTAAATGTAGCATTTGCAATTGAATAAGGCATTTAATGAGTGTCTGTCTGACATATTCCGTACTGCGATGATGCAGAAGTTTCTCAAGAAGATTTTCTGTGTTTATTCCCATGAAGTCTTTATTGCATACTAGAAAATTCAATAATTAAAATTTACATTATTAAAATGGTACTTTTACAGTAATTTACAGGTACCTTTTTCTGAACATTTTCACACATACAAATCCAGTCACTAGTTTTGATTCACTTTTAATTCCTGACTGAAATTGGCTTTTACCTCTGAAAGTTGTTTTTTACTATCTGTTGAATTTGACTCTACATTCATCTTTCAATATGTTGACATGTGTAATATGTGTTGACATGTCTTTCATTATCTACACTTTAGCCTAATATAACTGCCACCAAGCTAATCTTTCAAACACCCTTGGTAAAGGCTTCAATTAGTGCAAAATGCTAATGCCGAGGTTATTAGCCATCATATGCATTGAGCTCACATTACATTCTCTCTGAAGTCCTTAGATTAGTTTCCAGTTTATGCTTGTATTGATATTACAATCTTGCTTTTAAAGAAAGACACTTTCACATTTTCATTCTTCTTATTTAAAGGATTTGTTACACTTTTTTATCCTCACTCACACTTCACGCTCTTCTGGTTCCAGCTTTAACGCACTGAAGATTAAGGGACTGATCCCCAAAATTCTTGCTTGTGCAAGGAGTCACAATAGATTCAGCAAGACTGCTTCCATGAGTAAGAACTGTTCATATAATTTATGATTTGTCAGACTGAGCTAATGTAGGACTGAGCTAAGGTAGGACAATACACCCATTATATCTTTCTGAACATGTTCTTCCTCAAGGCTGGAGGAAGAAGGGGTTTTATAACATTATAATTTTTAATTCAGACTGAAAGCAGAATTTGTCAACTTCACACATATAATAAATAAGACAATAACACTGATGTTCCTAAACATCTCAATTTTTAAAATGGTGTATTTTACAATGGTACATTTCATATAATGCCTTTAGATTAATTTGTAAACAAGATGGAGGTGGCCTTAACCACATAATTTGTGCCTAGTTCCAGATATCAAGCTCCTCAAGACTTGGGGATGTTTCAAGTTTGGAATGTCATTTCAAACACATCTGTAATATAAATGTTTTTATTCTAGAGCTCTTCAATCTGTGATATTCCATTACAAAGAAAACATAGTAAACAAGTTTACGATCACCCATTGTACAGAAAGTGAAAAATATATTTTTAGAAAGTTTCCCCACAGAAGCAAATCTGATGTTTCTAAGGGAAGAAGGAAAAAATTGATTTAAAATATTGTATCATAAATATACAGTGTAATCATTTGTACAGCACAAAGGAGTACACTACAAAACATAAGGGTACCAAGAACATTTAGGTGAGTTTCTTAAGAGCCTCTTGCTTTTAATTAGCTTGTGCATTTGTACACTGTAACCAAGGTTTCATTCTAAAAATGAAGAAGCCATAAACACTTGGTATGGCTACTGAGAGAAGTATGAGGGAGAGTAGTTTAAAGCAGGTCTTTCAACTGATACAGTAATTACTTGTCTCTAGGAACTTAGTTTTTGCCTGGAGTACTTACCCCATTGGGAGGAGAGGAAATCCATTCCAACTCTGTCTGTTGTGCTTTAGAGTCCAGCAATATTACTAAAAAAAGGAAAAAAAAAGGAAATTCCACAGTTTATTGAATATAATAAGTGGGAATATAAAACTAAAGAACAGAATCTGAATTTTAAGAAGTGATAGAATGAATACAAATTTTGTACAAATTAATATTTTTTCTTCATATTATTAAAAATTATCTGCAACCACAACTATACCTTTACTTGTAAATAGATGATTAAAAGATTATGTAGCAACCACATATAAGCAGATAGACATTAATCTTTACAGTTGCATTACTTATAACAAAGTGGGGATTTTTTAGCGCTCTAAAATGTTACTAATCAGTCATTAAGATGCATGCTTTCTCCATCTCCTTTGTCATAAGAAGGACATTTCACATATGCTGGTTATTTCAACCAGCCTAAAACAGTTACACACCAACATTTCAACATTTCCAAACTGATTTAGACAGGACTGGTCTGTCCCTTACTGAGAGTCACACTGAAAAAGCAATGATCTTTTTTGAGTGTCAAAGTAAAAAAATACTTAGATGATAAAGTGGTAAATCTGTAAACAAACGACAACCAGGAATACAGAAAATAAAAGACTCTGCAGTTACCTCACACTTCAAATTCACAAATCAGATTACTTCACTTTATGGCACTGGCTTATTAAAATCTTCATGCCATTATACCCCCATGACATTTCTATATAGAAAGACATCAGTTCTAGTCACATCACAATTATTTCCAGCTAAATGTAACCTCACTTCTGAAAGTGGTTAATCACAGCCTAATAAATCAACTCTTTAGTAGCATTTCTAATTTGAACCTATTCCGTATATCTTTAGCTATAAAGCTATTTATAACTTCATACACATTTAAGGACTGATATATAAATGTTTGATTTAAGGTTGTAGTTTGAAGCAACTTTTGTCAGGTCTTTTGAAACAGCTATAATTCTGGCTTTGGCCCTTTCTCCTAGCATAATTTAACACAACATGTCAGTGAATTACTAAAAAGATGAGATGACTAAAAATGGTATTTAAAGGTTCATACAGTAATCTATGGAACGTTAGCTGAATACAAAACGGTAGCTTCCAGGCCTGTATTTCAGTAATGAAGTGGAACTACTCATTAAAGAAGTTTCATAGTCTCCCTCCAGAAAGACTACCTGCTTATTTCATTAAGCTCGGATTCAAGGGGCTTTATTTTGTAACACTTTCTATAGTAAAGCAGATGCTGTATGTGGTGGTTTGTTAAACAAGAACATTTATAATCGTCCTGAAAAAAATGATACCATGAAAAATTTAACCATTTCAGCACCAGCACAACACCCCATGGCTGCAATTCATTATACTTTTTATTTGGCAGTAATTCTCCATCACGTAGCAAAGGGTGGGCACATCTCAGAAAGAAAAGACAAGCAAATTAAAAAACAAACAAACAAACAAAGAAACCACAGACCCCTGCTTCGCAAACACCCCTTGCAAGGGAATCGTGGCGTTCCTTCTGGCATTCGAAGTTACCAGGGAAGAGCTCTCCAGGCCAGCGGCTGCTGCCCCGCTCCCTGCTCTGGGAGCCCTGTGGCAGTCATGGCTTGTTCTGCAGCGCGGGGAAGCGATGCGGGGGGACGAGGTTCGCAGCCTCCCGTGAACGGAGCACACCGGAACCTCCGGCGCGGTGCCCCCGCGGGGGAGCTGCGGGCCGAGAGCGACCGGAGGCGGCGGGCGAAGCGCGGGGGCGCGGCCGTGGGAATGGGCTTTGCGGGGTCATGCGCAGCGGGGGGCAGCAGCCTCTCGCCCCCGCAGGAGCCGCAGCCGCGCTCCGGGCGCTGCGCGGGGCTGCGCTCAGGCGGCCGCGCCCCCGGGCCGAGGAGCGAGGCTGGGCGGCAGCGGAGAGCCGGTACCGCGGCCGCCCCCGCCACACTTCCTGCAGCCCGGCAGCCACTGCCTCGGGGAGGAAGCGCCCGGGACGGTGGCCCCGGCACGGAGCCCCGAGCACTCGGATACACCCCCCGCTCTTCCCAGGGGGAGCGGGCCGCAGTGCCCCCTGTGCCTGCGCTCGCCCCGAGGGTCCCGGCCGCGGGCAGAGAACTCCGCAGGTAACGCGGTCACTCCTTCGCTTACAGAGCCAGGCGGACCCTGCCCCGCTCCTCTCCAGCATCTCACCGCGGCTTGTATTACGCTACAGAAAGGAAACTCGCAAAACTTTTCGGTGCTTCACCCCCTCATCCCTCTTCCGTACCCAGCGGGGAGCGGTGGGTAACCACGCGGGGCTGCTGCCGCCACCGGCCCTTCGGCGGGGCCGGTGGTGAAGCTGCAAAGTTACTTTTTTTTTCTTAAAAAAAAAAAAGCTCGCTCTTTCTTCCGTGGGAGTTTTCTGCGCTTGCAGCAGGTAGTCGCTATCAATCCCTGTCTGCCGCTCGCCCCCTCCTGACCCTCCTTTGGCTAGGTGATTTTCTCTGAACGTACTGTCATTATACACCCACACTCTTAGGCATAAATGCATACATATCCATCCATACACGTATTGTTAAAAACGGGGCAGACTACCGCGCGAAGCACCGGCGCAGCCCCGATCACGGAGCAACCCGCAGGGCAGAGCGGGACAGCAGCCCACAACCTCTCCGCCTTCCTCTCTGTCCGTCTGCCCGGCCCCTCTCCCGCTCCCTACCCCACAGCCATGCGTTAGTACTCCCCGTGTGAGGGTCTCTGTGCTTTACAGCCCCTTTAAATAAACTTCCATGATGCTGCTAGGGTAAGGCTCTCCCTTCTCTCTCTCTCTCTCTCTCTCTCTAACCTCGCCATCGACTTCTTCTTTTAAGGGCAGAGGACATTTTAATCGAGGCATTTTTTTAAGCTCCAGTTACAAGCTCAAAATGATATTTTACTGCATGCCAGCGGCTTGATAAAAAATATTGACGCATCCAGCTGAATGGGGGGGGGACCACAAACGCATGCATATGCGGAGGCACTGAAAAAGCCCTGGCTCTCCCTTCCCTGTCATGTCGTGTCGTGTGTGTGTCCCCCCCTCGCTCCCCCGAAGATGGAGACGGACCTTCGGCTGTCAAACGGGAGCAGGGCGCTCCTTTAAATCATTTCGGATTTTCTCAGCGTGAGAAAACAGAATCCCAGATGGACTTTGTGAATTGATTTTCAACACCTCCATCAATCTGAAAAACTGCCTGGTTTGCCTCTGTGCGAGGGGGAACCAAATGTCCGGGGTTCGCCTTACACAGATACCAATGTTGGACCGATGGAAACCGGGAAGCCCCGTTGTGATCCTCAGACGATGTAAAACATCCATCCCTAAACCTCTCTCTCTCCAGCAACGCCGGGGGAGAGCACACACGTTACATGGCACATGATGCCAGGCCGTAGGTATCCTCTAAATACGTGCCCAGCCTGTATGGCCGGGAAGTACGAAACTGCCCCCGATGCTCCTTCCCGTGGTCTGTGCCCGGCCCCAGGGGCCGGAGCGCTGCGGGCCCCCGGGGGGTAGCGGCGGGGAGCTGCCCCGCAGCCTGAAGCCCCGTGCCGTGCCTTGCCTTCCACGAAACGTCCCAAGCCCTAGAACTCGGCCCTCGGCCCCTGCCTGAGGAACACCGAGGTAACCCGCCCTCCCTGCACCTACCTCCTCGGGAGAATGCGGGCTGGCAGGGGACAGCGAGGCACCCCTGCGCGGATCCCCGGGCCGAGGGCTCTCCCCAGCCCCATGTCGTTTCATCACGTGCGAATGCCTCCCAAGCCTCATTCCTGGGAGCAAAGGCAGTTGTCCCGGTCTCTCACACATACACACGCACACCCCCACCAGAGAATGCCTAGGTCTTTCCTCCATCCTATCTCAACTGAAAAAAAGTCTTTCGGCTTTTTTTCTTTAATGAGGGCTGACAAGCAGCTGGCAGGGGCAGGCAGGTCCCGCGCTGAGCCACCACACAGACTTCGTGGGCAAAAGCAATAAATAAACGCAAACTTTTGTTTTCCGCATCACCTTACCTTCTTTTGCAGCCTGTGCCTCCCCCGTGTGTGCAAAGTGGAACAGCCAGACGGAGCACAAAATAATCCAAGAAGGGAGCCTACTTTGGAAAGCCATGGTGCAAGAGCGGGGTGATTTTATATTTCTAGCTCTATATTTCTAGAAACTGCCACTGCCGCCGCTTCGTGGGTGCTAGAGGACGGTGGAGAAATTGCTGTGCTAGTTTGTAGATCGGCGCTCCCTCCCTCCAGGCTGCCTTTCTCTTTTGTCACCGCCTCCTCCTCCTTCTCCGCCGCCTCCGCGCCGCTGCCCGGCTCCCGCACCGGGCCGAGCGCCCGCCAGCCCCGACTGCAGCCCGGCCGCCCGCGCCGCGCGCCGATAATATCAATGGGGGCGAGGGGGCGGGACCACAGCGGCCGCGCGGCCCGTCCCTCACCGTGAGTGACAGCCCCCGCCGGCCAAACAGCAGCGGCTCTCAGCGCCCGCCGGGCCGAGGCGGCGCCTGAGTGGTCGTTGTCGGAGGGGCGGGGCCGGCGGGGCTGGCCAATGAGCGCGCGGCGGTGTCGGGTGTCAGCCGGTGCTGGAGCCGCGGGCAGCGCGCGGCGCCCAGAGCCGGGACGGTGGGGCCGCACCGGGCGCGGGCGCCGAACGCGGGTAGTTCGGGGGTCTGCCCCACGGGCTGCCCCACACGCCTGGAGGCCGCCGGCCGGACTGTCCTAGCGAGTGGGACGGACGCCCAGTCAGATGGACGGACTCCCGCGTCCCAGGGTTCCGTGTGTTCTCCCCGAGCCGCAGCCGCCGGGGTAGCGAGGGAGAGAGATCCCGGCCGCAGCCCCAGCCCGACCCCGACCCAGATCCGTCGCTGCCGGCGGGTCCCGGCGCTGACCCCGCGCGGTGCCCGCCCGTGGCCGGGCTGAGCGCGCACCTGGGCTGCTGCCACCGAAAGGGAAACTTCGGCGGGAGCTGCGGGATGGTGCCCCGAGGCATCTCCGTAACAAAAGTCAAGTTCCTCGAGGCTGGCATCACTCGGGCTCCCTTCCCTCTGTTTCATTGGGGTTTTTAGCCCCGCGTCTCCGATTTGCCCCAAATACGAAGAGCAGGTTAATGACAATATAGTTATTATTTGAGAAGGAGAAGGAGCGGCTGCTTCCCCTCCGCCCCCCGTCGGGTGTAACCTGAAGCGCGTGTAATCCTCCAACAATGAGACAATTTAAATAGGAGAGGGAGAAAAAAAATAAAGTAAAACCGGAGGGAGAGAGGAACTTGCCAAATCTCTTTTGTCAGCGTTCAACCAGGGACGGGGAAAGCTTTTCTCGGAGTTCTATCGGGTCCCCTCCCTTTCGCTTTCCTTTCTCCAAACCCATCCCTCGCTCCTTCGACGAGTGAAACAACTGAGGGATGGACACTAAAACTTACGCTGCCCGAGCGAGGCTGCGGAGAGGAGGATGGTGCGAGGGGCACGGTGTTTACGCACCCTCGGCGGGAGCGCTCCTCTCCCGGGCCGCGCCGGCGCCCCGCATCCTCCGCGGAGAGAGGCGCCGGCCCCGACCGCACTCCTCTCTCCGCGCACCCCTCCTCTTGGTCCCTGCCTCCGGCTCTGTCCCGCGCAACCTTCCCGAGGCTGATGCCGAGCGCACGGACCGGGTTTTCTACTGATCCGCTAAAAGTGCATCGCCGTGTCCTTTCGGAGGGTGGATATTGCGATGTAAACAGAATAAGTGATTATCGTCTTGGAAGCAGGCGAAGGCAGTGAAGAGCGGGGGGTGTAACTGCAATTCTGTAGCAAGATTATGCGGGGGAATCTGAAACAAGCCTTGCGCAGATGTGGACGCTGATATAGAAAATGTTATGCCAGAAATGGAAATTTAAATTGGGGGAGGTTTGTTTATGGAACCTTTATAGGTAGATAAGGCAAAATTAGAATTATTATTAATAATAATAATATAACAACAATAATAACAATACTATGCTCAGCATTGTCGGATAAACAGCCACTATACTATGGGCTTTGAGCACTTTCCCTGTGAGCTCCTCATTACTTCCGAGAATGGTGTGGAGAGAGCCTCAAAAATGTGCTGTATTCCTTACACTTGCTGAATAATTAATATGGCTTAGAATATGACAGGTTTTGCATTTCCTTCAGAATGCTCTGTTGATATCTTGGATACCATGATAAGTGTAGGCAAAGTACGGGCTTTTGATTCTCTCATCCTCTGTCATGTGTCATTCCCATCCTCATGCATGTGCACTCGGAAAGGGGAGCTGTACAGAACAGTGAGTTTACTTATCTTCTTTTAAAAAGGCTGTTTTGTTTCATAAATACTCGCATGCAGGTATTTTGTAACTTCTTGGCAAATTTTCATAGGTAAAGCTGGTTTTCATGTGGCATATATTGTAACAGTGATTAAAACGGATATAGGAAGTCTTCGACCTAGTTAGTCCTCCACAATTTCCTAGCATGAAGTGCTGGCATTTCACTACAACATCATTAACCCAAAAAGACAATTTTTAACCTACAGAATGTGCTAAAAAAAATAAAATTGTATTCACTCTTTGAATGACTATGTTCATAAAAATGCAGAAACTTGCTAAATTAACAAATCAACAGAAAGGCTGAAATGGTAACGAGATATATTCATATCCTGCGTATAGTGTTAGGCCAGACACTCACTTTCATCATCACCTGCATTTATACAGGTAATATTGTACTATATTTTACAATCTAATATTGTATGTGTATAATACATGTATGAGATCTGTATACATATAAGGGTACTTAAAAGTATGTAAATATAGTAACCACACAAAGGATATAAGTGCACATGACTGAGTGTATAAAGAATGTAAAAAAGAGATTAAAAAAAAATGTATGTTCCTCTTCATGATCAACTCATTTTAAATGCCCTGTCTTCCTGATAGTTGTAAATTGAGATAAAGATGACATACGATATGTACTGCTTTGTTAAAATAGTCATGTATATATTCACAGGCACACCAAAATAATTAATATACATTGAGAGGGTCTATTAATGTTGAGGTCTTTTTTGAACTTCTTGCACATTAAATCTTTGTGAAATTGATTCAGAATTTGAAAGCCTTATTAGTGAGTTTGACTTTTTTTCCCTTTTCCTCTGCTTATTTGTAGTGTTTTGTAATACTTCAATTGTATTCTGTAGGACGCACAGCCCGTACTGCCTCTCATCCAGCTGAGAGTCAGATCTGCAAAGAAAGACAGAAAAGAGAAATATTACAATTGAACCAAAACACTCAAGCTAAATGGCCTACAACCCTCAGATTTGGTAACAAAACCTCTGAGAGAAAAAGAAAAGAAAAAAAACAACTGGGAACTTCATTGAACTCAATGTGTTACAATTCAGACACCACCAAAGTAAATAGTTAACTGAAACAAAACAATGTAATTCAAGATATTTATGTCACTTTATTATTTTATTCTGTTTTGTCCTTTTTTTCCTAACTCAAAGTCTGTATGCCAGATTCTGTCTTTTATTTTTACTCATAGTTAGAATGGCTTTCTTGACATTACCAAGCTTCTCTATGGTAATATTAACTTCGTACTAGCCGAGATTCACCATGCTGAATTGCAATGGTCTAAGCAAACTTTGGAGATATATTGAAATATTTTCCCCCTTAAAATTGGCTAACTCTATCTTCACCACATAACTCGATCTGAAATTGTGATACAAAAAATATGGGATGAATTTTAAGTCTGTACAAGCATATGTAAGGAAATGAGCATGGCTTGAAAATGGTGACAAAATTCTGTTTTCACAAATTCCCTTTTTGCAGAAATTACACATTCTTTCTTTGCTCTGTTCAGGACTGAAGCAAAATTTCAATAATTTGAAAAAGGTGTTGAAGGTTAGCCTCAGGCATAGTTTCTGTAAATGGTATTGAGCTTGGTTCGGTCCACAGGAGAAGAATCCTTAAAACTGGTTTTGACAAAAATATTTGAACTGTGTTTTACAGTAGCAAAGGTAGAAATGAGGCTTAAGTAATAGAAGGAGGTCTCTTAATCCCAGAATTTGTGGTCTTAATCTAAGCAATCCCTAAACAGTTCTTTGTCTGTGCATAAGATTTTCTACAAAATATGAAGTACACATTTTTTGTGCAATTTTTGTCAATTTTTGTCAATATTTTATTATAAAATTCAGTGGCATAGTGACATTTGACTTATAATTAATAGGTATATAATAAATTATTTTATCAGACTTTGCATTTAGTCTTACAAATGTAATGGCACTTATATTCCAAATCTGGACCAGAGACGAATTTTCCATACAGTGTCAATTTCAGACATTCTGGTGGTTTTATAAGTCAGAGTAGCTCTATTATGGTAAATAAGACAATGTATTAAATAAATTTTATTGCTTCATAAAGAAATTGTAGAGAATTGGGACTGGCTTGTTGAAAGGCATGTTCATATAAAAAATTCTTTTTCTAGATAAAATGTCAGCTTGGTTTTGTTTGTTTTTTTTTTAAACTATTTTTGTTAACACAAATCAAAAATAGTGCTATAAAGCTCCACATTTGAAGTGTTTACTTATATCAGTATGGTAATAAAAATTCACTGTCAAATTTTCTCTTGGGAGATTTTAAGTTATACTCTGCTAAACAGATCCTGGATCATGTTTTCCAAATCTATGAATTTTCAATACACTTTGAAAAACACTGTCCAGAAACAGAGGTAAGAAGGTGTGTCATCTTGTTATTTAATGGAAATTAAATACATTCCATAGAACAGTACAAATTTAATTCACGTTTAACATATATGTGAACATGAAATGCCTCTGCCTTTCCCAAGGAACAATAGCAGAGTTGTATGGGGTCCAAAAGCATGCTTGGGTCCTTTGAGACTACTTCCCTTGATAAACCTGAATTTGAAAACTGTCTTACTGAGGAACAAGAGCCATTGGAGAATATACCGCCTCTTTATTGACCATTCTTCAGAGTCTGTTAGTACATCACATTTTGCTCTGGACCTTCCTGTGGGAAGTCTGAGCAGGACGAGCCAGTGCCATCATCCTGTGATAGCATCTGGAGATATTCTGAGAGGAGGTAACTTCTCTTGCTCACCTATGAGTTAAAGGAATGTCTTTGTGCCCAGCTGCAGCAAGAAGCATCTGCACATATAAGAAAATTGTTGACTTCAATACTCTGTAAGATTCAGAGTTTCAATTTTCCTAGGATGTTTGTCATACTAAAAATTGTGTACAAAAGAACCTGACCATAAGGGCAGCTAATTCATATTTTAGTTAATTAGTTGTAAGTAGCAGATAAA